CAGGCTCGTGCTCCTGCAAGAGAACATTTACAAAACATGGCGAATGGGAAAAGTGCTTGGTCTTGTGAGCTTCGACGTCAAGGGCGCGTATAACGAAGTGTTCAAAAACAGGTTTCTACAACGGCTCGCAGCGAGAGGCTTGGCAGATGATCCCCTGGATGGGTCGATCGTCGTCGAAGAAGCAGGCCTCAGGAGCTCCCACGTCAAGGCATATCAGCACCGTGGAGAGCTCCTGCTAGGCCTGTACCTGTACGACTACGTATCGCTCGTCAGACTCAAACGCGATAGCAACGACGGGAGCTGTGCAGGTTGGGGAGAGGCCCTGTCGAGGATGGGCGGCCGCCAGGAAGACGTTGGGTTCAGGTGCTCAGGCGGCCGGGAAAGCAGGCCACCGTCTGCCTTGACGGCGACCTGAGCAGGACTTTGCCCACGACGATGAGGATTCGTGTCGTCGGGGATTATGCGGAAACCGTTTCGCCGGCGGATATGGGAGATCCCAATTTTTTCACCATTGAAAGGCAGCCGTGCAGCAACTTGCGCTATTTGTACCATGGGAGCTCTTCCTGTGCGAAGAAATGGGCGACATCAACAGCATCTGGGCGCGGGCGCGAAAGGCGCTGGCTCCGAGAATATCATGTCTCATCAATAACGTGCAACTGCTTCGACGACCAGCCGAAGACGCAGAACGCGACGCCAAGAGATGGGCATCCACCTCCGGAGATGGCTATCCGACGGTCGGACACGTGGGGAGGGACGATGCGGGCGCAGAATCTACAGTGACGTATCAGTCTATCAGCATCGGAAACGCAACGCGGCTGATCGACGTTGTCCGAGGTGCAGTGGACTCGAATCAGATGGCGGCTAAGTCGCCGGAGCTCATGGCGATGATGCAACAGCTCTGTCGGTTCCAACAATCCGTGCTGCGCTCGACGGCCGAGCTGGAGGCCGCCTGGTAACCCGAACGAGGGGCGAGACGGATAAATAGGGGCGGGTATTTTCCGGGGCCGCACTACCACCGCAAAATCAGGTCAGGGCCATCAAGTCGCAGCAGATGAGTGCTTCGAAGGAGAGGGAGAGGATCATCCAAAGCATACCGGTACAAGATATAACCGTGGTCCGGGAAAGCGACCGCCGCGCTGCATCGCGGAGAGTCATGGCCGGCCACGGGGAGGACGATGTCGAAATGGCGACGGCCGGCTTCGATGAGACCTGAGACCCCAGATGTGTCCTGGGACCATGTGTGTCCTGTCCTGGGATCCAATTGTGTCCTGGGACCGTGTGTGTCCTGGGATCCCTGGGACCATGTATGTCCTGGGATCCATTTGTATCCTTGGGACCGTGTGTGTCGTGTCCTGGGACGTGTGTGTCCTGGGACCATGTGTGTCCTGGGACGTGTGTGTCCTGGGACCGTGTATGTCCTGGGACCGTGTGTGTCCTGGGACCATGTGTGTCCTGGGACCATGTGTGTCCTGGGACCGTGTGTGTCCTGGGACCGTTGTGTGTCCTGGGACCGTGTGTGTCCTGGGACGTGTGTGTCCTGGGACCATGTGTGTCCTGGGACCGTGTGTGTCCTGGGACCGTGTATGTCCTGGGACGTGTGTGTCCTGGGACCATGTGTGTCCTGGGACCGTGTGTGTCCTGGGACCGTTGTGTGTCCTGGGACCGTGTGTGTCCTGGGACCATGTGTGTCCTGGGACCGTGTGTGTCCTGGGACTATGTGTGACCCCGAATGCTATAGCACCTGCCGTCAGTCATGCGGTGTGTCCTGGGACCGTGTATGTCCTGGGACCATGTGTGTCCTGGGACCGTGTGTGTCCTGGGACCGTGTATGTCCTGGGACCGTGTGTGTCCTGGGACCGTGTGTGTCCTGGGACCGTTGTGTGTCCTGGGACCGTGTGTGTCCTGGGACCGTGTATGTCCTGGGACTATGTGTGACCCCGAATGCTACAGCACCTGCGGTCAGTCATGCGGATCGTGCGACTGAGCCAGGTCTGAGTTGTGGGATCTGAGCGGCAGGCTATTACTGCATAACATCGCCCAGAGAGCTTTGAGAAGCAGAGCTCATAACCTGTGACCAAGCTGTGCTGGCGGTGGATGGTGGCATCCGTCAAGGCCCTAACCGGTTAGGATTGAAGTTGCAAACATTGCCCTGACCCCGTTGCGAATTATGGGCAGGCTCCGCCCAGGGTTGCAAGCCAGATTCACTGCACAAACCCTGATTCTGCTAGGGTCAGCCTCGCACAAGGTTAAAGTCTGCACGCCCCTTTTCGGGTGGCATGCATAGATAGCATGTCCGAGCCCCCTTAGCCGTCCTGTACGCGATTTTTATTATCCCTGTACCTAGACCGTATGAAGCAAGGGGAAGGTAACTTACGTTGGGCACAGAAAACGCGGGGTGTCGCTCCTAGACCCTTCCCCGATCATGGGTGCCCGTGACCGTACCCGCGGGCGATTCTGGCTTCACAACAGTGCAACAGCTCATTAAGGGATTTTCCGATGATCTGCCGGATCTGGTGATCTGCCGGATTGCGGCGACTTCGCACGCTCAACATCAATCGACAATAGCTCAACAACAACGGTGCCAATTGACGTATCCTTTGATTTCCTGAATCATCAGAAGCAGTGAAAGTCTGGCATATATTTAGAACTTTTATCTAGGGGCAATGCGCTGCGGTGCTGACATCAAACCAAGCAACGGCCAAAATAGGATGCCGACAGATTGTGTAAGTCATTTCAGCCAATACAGCAAAACAGAACATTATTGGCTTTCATCGTAGGCTTTAATCATGTGGGATTCTCCCATTCTATCCATAGTGCAGAACTTGGCTCAGGATACTGCAAAAATGGGGTTGAAGGGCGAGCTGGATAACTTCATTCTACGCACCCGTAATGAGCCAGATTGAACGTGATTCGACGGTACAAGCATCTTCTGAAAAGAACCTATCTATGCATCTGAATGTAAGGTTTATTTTAGCTTGAAATTCAGTGCGCGAGGCTCCTTTCACACCTGACAAGGAAAGACGTGCACGAAAATTGAGAAATTCGACACCCTACCCTAAAACACGTATAACATGGATGAAATGGGCTTTCTATTCCTTATGAGCATTTGAACGAACAGGGTATTCCTCTTATTATAAGAAAACAAGGCAAAATTGCTCGGCGTATTAAAATGGCAACCCATCCTCCCTTACGTTCAAGATGTGCGTCAGTCAAGAGATGGCATCGCTGCCCCATTTCTCATCCACCAAGACAAGCCAGCACAAACTCTGGACTTTGGTTCGTGAAACGTGAATCAAGTCGTCAATAAATATTTTTAACACGTCAAAAACGAGGTGGACGAATCACAATATTGGAAATGAGCAGCTCACCGGTACGTTCGACCGGTTTACCAGGGTGAAAGCTCGAAACGGTTGTGCTTATCGCCTTTGGTAAAAGGTTCATTGGATTGCTGAAATCGAAGATCTAGACTGTGTTTTGGAACGCATTTCAGGAAGTAGTCGAGAAGTCCTCTGTTGATGCTGGCCGCAACAGCCGAAGGCTGAGCAGCACCCTCGGGAGCCCTCAATATGAGTTTTAAGTGCTTGATATGAGAGTTAAAGTATGCAGAGAACAAGTAGTCACAAGAACCAGCGCAGGCAGACCGGTAAGGCTTCAAAGATGATCTCTTCTGCTGTACAGATTCTAGTGCAGACGAGGTGTTTAGCTCTAAAATTGTGGCTCAAGCTCGCCAAAAATGACAGTGAAAGGACTCAAAAGAAAGAGGAGGCTCTGAAGAAGGAGGCCCGAAAGCTTCAGCGACAGCAGAAGGCAGCGGAGCAAAAGCTCGCTCTAGAGAAGAGGAAGCAATGAGAGGCGGAAATTGGGAGAAAACGACGGATGACGGAGGCCGTGAAGCAAAATAAGGAGATAAATTGGCATTATTAACAAGAGCTGAAGATTTTGAAAGTGGAAAAGCCACAGAAAATGCAGAATGAGCGACGGGTGGCTTCTGAGGGTCGCGAGAGGAGTCAGGATGTTCACGCTGCAAAAATTGTCACTCTTCCGTTCACACCAGAGCGGGCCATAGCATTGCAGGTACCAAACACACTATATAATAACGCAAATAATAAGGCAATGATAACTTCAAACGACATATCCTGTCCTCAAAGGCCCTCTTTAGCTGTTGATAGTGATCGGGAGGCAATGGGTGCATTTCGGGGACTTGCGCGATCGGAGAGTAACAGAAGACGACCTCGATGGCTGGATGACTTCAAAAAGATTGAGTGGCATCTTTGAGCATTATTAACTGCTCTTATAAGATTTTAGAACAATTCAAATAGTATTCGTGAAGTTATTCTCAGTTCTTTGCTGGAATGCAATGAGCCCAAAATCCGGCGAATCGCCAGATCCGGCAGATCACCGGAAAATCCCTTAGTGGGGGACATTCTGTCCAATCATTGCTCAATCGTCACATACAGTATTGTCCATATGACTTGCTGTGTCAGGAGCTGAGACGCCGTTGATTCAATCATAACATGAGCGTGTCAATGGCCAGCTACAAGGGTGCGGGCGCCTGGCCTCCCGCCGACGGCTGTGCGGATGGGGGCAATGTAGAGATGATAGTGACGGGGTACTGTAAAGTATAACAGAAGATGAGAAGAGGAAGGAAATGAAGGCGGGCGACGCGGGGTCTCGGAGTCGTTGGTGAGAAAGTGACCAAGAGCCAGAATCCACCTTGCCAGACCGCGTCCGCTTCGAGATGCATTTCAAGGACTCTACTTTTAGGTACATGCACACCAACAGCGATGCTGTCCTGGCGCGGCGGGCAAACGGACGAAATCGGCATCCAGTTCCGCGTTGCTCCAAATATCGCTGTTGGTTCTCAATGTGAGGAAGGTTGTGGACGTGTTGCTGCAGGTTGGTTGACGGCTTATGCACGACAGCTCCACATGCGTCCGGGGTAGAACAGCCACAATAGGACGAAGGGGTGGGATGTTGCTTCCAACTGTTCCCTGGCCGGCATGGGTGGTGTGAGTCATGCGGCCTTGCAGATGCAGACCGTAGCTCCGCCACATTCTACTCTCCTCTATCAGTCTCAACGCAAGGAATCCGGCCACGGAACAACACTTCACTGGGCCTTCAACAATGCCACCCGGTGGAACTCGGACATGCGTATGATGGAACGGGCTCTTCGACTCCGCCCGGCGCTCAATACCTTCTTCAATGACGTTCAGAACCGGTGGGAAACCGAGGGCCTCTGTGACAGAACGAAGCCGGCAGTTCTGCAATACCGCTTAAGTGCGTACGACTGGAAAGTCATCGGGGTACTTGTCAAGCTTCTGAAGCCTTTCGAGATTGCCAACAAGCAACTTCAGGGCAGCGGTGTTCCCGGTGGTAGGTCCACATGTGGCAGTTTCGATGAATACTTCCCTGTCTTTGAGATCTTACTTGACCACCTCGAAAGTGCTATCGAAGGCACAATCTTCGAAGAGGTTGAGGATCCAGTGACCAGGGAGAAGAAGGACGTCGAAGTAGCCATTTATGACGGGCTCGATAGCAGGACCCGCAGGCTTCTCAAGGTCTATATCAAGCTCGGATGGAAGAAGCTGCATAAATATTACAGCCGGCTGACTAGCGCTGCATATGTCGGGGCTGTTGTCTTCAATCCTGCGAAAAAGTGGCGCCTTCTCGATCAACTGTGGTCTCGAGTACCCTCTCGGAAGACGAAGAGTTGGCGGTTGGAATACGAAGCAAAGCTCTTGGAGATCTGGGAGAAGTATAGGGAGCGCGACGTTGACAACGAGATCCTCGCTACGTCTGATGAGGCCTCCATGGATTACATTGAGCGGAGACTTGCTAGGACTGTAGCTGGTTCGCCATTCAACCAGGGCTCGTTCGGAGCGTCAGGTGCCCGCAAGAGTAACCGAAAGACGAAACCGTCTACGGCGGAGCGACTGGTGATGACGAATATGCTCGATATTGTGCCGAGGACGTCGTCAACAGCCACCACTACAGAAGCAGACCGATTGACTGGTGGAAGATCAACCGGAGCCGATATCCGCGACTGTCTTTGATGGCAGTAGACATGCTTACGATTCCATCGACGTCCGCGGAAAGCGAGAGGACGTTTAGCAGTGCAGGACGTATGACGGCACCATTGCGAAGCCGGTTGCGGAGGGAGATCGTAGCGATGGCTCAATGCATTCGATCGTGGAGTAAAGCTGGGATCTACACGCCTTCACTGCCGCTGTTTAGCCTCAACGAAGATCAATGGGTTGATGCTCTTGCGTCGCTGAAGGGCCGAGTGACATTTGACCAGTTTGTTAGGACAGCAATTGACCGTGCTTTCGACGTCTCATCTGATGCAGCCATGATGTCTGTACACCCCTTGGCACTTCTTAAGTCGAGGGATGTAGTAGCCCTCGTGATGGTGGCAAAGACATGTCGGTGCAACGCACGTTTGATGCCCCGATCTCCGCTGAAGTCCCACGTTCGATCGAATTCGTATCGAATTCGATCGAACCTGGCATTCGATAGATATCGAATCTACAGGAGACGCGTTCGATTCGATGCGAATCTACTGGAGACACATTCGATTCGAGGTCGAATCGAAGGCACAAGAACTTTCACGCGTTCGATTCGATGCGAATCTGCAGAGGCACTATTCGATTCGAACGCCAAGTCTTGGCGTTCGATTCGATAGATTCGTAAGATGTCCATCCCTGATTGACTCTGATCGTCCTGTACAGATAAGGAGCTAGAAAGACCGTGGTCACGGCAAACACGACACTTGCCTCGACCACATCCTCAGTAGTAATCTTGTCTTGCATGTCGAAATGCGGTGATCTTCAATGATAGAGAGAGCGAGATGCTGACTTATTGTAATGAGAAGGCATGAGAGGGCCGGGCTTGCCCTGAAGGAGATGTTATTTATATAGACGTTCAAGTTATTCCTGAATACCCCACTTGAGAATATTTGGTTTATGGCAAGCAACGTGTTGATGAATCGAGAACTACAGCACATTATCCTGGCGATTGACAAACGACCAGATCTACATAGATCGAGGAGGGAGAGGCGGGATGGCTCCGGACAGACAGGTTCGGACAGACATATTGCAGGGATTATCGCGCTAAGCATGGGTTAAAAGCCATCGCGCCTTGACTACAACCTGAACGGGCACAAGTGCCATTTTTCAGTCTGAAGGGAAATCCACTAGTATACAATCCTGGGTAGGCCGCTGCTGCAGTTCCAACTGCGTTTCATCCTCCTTGGAAGCCTTCCGCTTCTTGCACCGCGGCTTAGGCATATCGGGTTCCTCACCTTTCGGGCCTTCCCGCTCTATCTGGAGACTTCCCAGTAGCAGTCGTCGCCTTCTCTATATCCTTCGTGCTCCGTGTTCGACTACGTCTCGTTTCCCGAAGAAGCTGTGGCGAAGTTGCCAAGGAGAGGACGGGGTCGAGGAATGGTCAGGAAGCTGATCAACTCCTTCAGCAAATCCGAAGTGGCTCGGTCCGCTCGAGCGGCAGTATGCTCTGCGGCCTCACGGCCGGTCATGGATCGCCTTTTCGTGCTACCGTGCGATTTGAACCTCTTCAAGCCAGGCGAATGCAGTGCTTCCGGCAATTCCGGAGGCAGGAGGGCTCTTGACTGTACCTGCGCCTGGAAATCTGCTATTAGACGGTCATTCTGTAAGCAAAAGAGTCTCGAGAACTCCTCTGCCTGCTGTCCGCCGAGGCTCCCCTGTACTTGAACGACCTCCAATCCCGATTGAAGAACCATGTTCCTACCGCCATCTTGGATTCTTGGTAACGATTCCCTGGATTTTTTGTGACCTCGGGAGCTGGCTGCTTTGCATAAGACATGGTCCAGCTGCGTACCACCGCAGGTCCGTCGAGTAACCAGCGTGGATGAAGGACATTGAGTGGGACAGGCCAGGACCTGACAACAGCCTCGTACAGCCAGTGTCGACAGGGCAGGCCGTATCTGAGTGGGAACTCACACGCGAAGGGACATCCAGGTTCGTTGAGAAGGCCCAATACCTTACGCTCCTTCTCGAGCTCAGTGTTTTGCCTCCATCTTAGAGCTTTGCTGCCTCCCACTCCGGAGCTAGCTTGCTCAGAACATAGTGTGGAACCTTCCCGATAAGAAGGCGGAAAGCAGCTCGGTCCAACAGCCTTGGGACGTCAGCCCTGCTCCGATCCTCGTCTTCAGTGATTTTTTGAGTTAATTTCTTCAAGCTTTCGGCCAGTTTTGACAGGATGCCTGCAGGAAGCTGCCTGTTGAGAGACTGTTTGACCACGACATGGTAGCTTTCGTTCCTCTGCGTGCTGTTACATCCGAGGTTCGGGTACTGTGTGTGTGCTCGGACAAATTGGCGCTCTTTCGGTTGCCAATTATTCTTGAGATAAAGGCGTTCCGGCTCCCGAATTTCTGCGAGCAGCTCGCCTCGCCGTTCTTCAAGTCGCGCCTCATCGGGAGCTTGTATGTAATCCCAAACGAACCGAAGTAGCTCTTCCTTCGTTCCTTCGTATATTTGCCCGAGTCTAACAATCGCTTCTTGAAGTTCTCTGCGGCATGCCATTCACAAAGCTGCAATATTTGCCCATCTTCACCCTGAGGATCAGCTCTAATCGTACCAGACCAGTTCTGCCAATTGAGCATTCACAAATTCGAAGGCTTCAGCTGATTCAGATGTTATAAAGGCGAAAGCCAGAGGAAATGTCTTGCCTGTGTTTGTGATTCCCACTATGACAGATAAAGGCAGGTGGAGGCAATTGGTGTTGAACGTCGCATCGGTTTGCATGAGGAATCCGCTGACGAATCTTCTACCCAGGCGGATCTGCTCGGAAGAACAGAAGAACAGATGCTCGAGTACTCGCGCTGTCTGTCGTCCTTGGTCGTCAAGAAGGTATTTGAAGAAGCAACGAACACGGAAGTCCTCGAACTCCAAACAAGTGAGCAAGACGTCAAGCGCTTCTTGACTGCTGCGTCTCCTTCAGACCGGCTCAGGTTGTAGAACTCCTTTGCAGAAAGACAGTTGCCTAAGCCGTGTTGGTCGAGAATCCGGGTTGATTCAGTTGCTGACAGGCCGGCAGTCCGATGCGCGAGGGCCAGATCGACTGCCGCAGCCCGCTCTGGGATACGGGATCTATGGCAGGCGTAGTGGAAGGATTTTGAAGTGGCGGATGCGTATGGTACGCGTAAGTGAAACCGACCACCCAGCCTTTTCGCTCTTCTATCCCTCCGCGGCCGCTCCGGATAGTTTTGTAGGAGACATAAAGACTATAAGGACACTCCTTGGCCTTGGTGTACGTAAGCTCCTTCTTTCGGTCCCCTCCTCTGTGACGATGTCCGGCAGCTTTCGAGTATTTCGGTACCTCTACCGTGATGGATACAATTCACTCGCAGGCGGTCGCGTACCTTGCTGGCAGTGACCAGAGCGAAACCCTGGGTGAATGCATAGTTTTGGAACCAGTGAAGGGCTTCCTCGGGGCTGTTCACTTCGTCACCGGTAACAGGAGCGCGGAGATGCTCTTGCGGTAGGGCTTCTACAGCTTTGTTGAAGCCGGAGCGGACATCATCGGGGAGGCTGTCGCGGTACTGGATCTCCATCGCGTTCGCGTTCGCGTCGGACGAGATGCTGGATCTCCATTGAACCTGAACAACGCGATTCTTATTGCGACGCGCACCCTAGCAAGGGGCGATGAACGATTATTCCCGTTCAGGTTGTAGTCAAGGCGCGATGGCTTTTAACCCATGCTTAGCGCGATAATCCCTGCAATATGTCTGTCCGGAGCCATCCCGGGGAAATGCCTCTTCGTGCGTGCAAGGACGTTCTTATTGACATGCCAGCGTCATAGTAGATGCGGTATCAAGTGGAAAGATGGATTGTCATTTAACGCCTTGATTAACGCGAGGTCTCGGTCTGTGACGATAATGCGAGGCCGTTGTTCGATAGATTGTTCGATGAGTGTGACGGTACAAGTGCACGAACAAGGTCGGGTGCGACTTGGGTAAAGTGATTGTCTACGAAGAGAGAAGGAGGTTCCTAAGGAAGACTCTGACTTTCGCTATTTACATGAATCAAAGTGAGACATTTCATAAAGTATGAAAGTCACATGATCGTTCCCTCACACATGGGCCTCCCTTACTCCATCGCTTCTGATTCTTCCACGTCTTGCTGAGCCTGTAGGCGAGCATTTTGCACTTCTTGTTTCGTGGGTCTTGTAACGGGCAAGCCGCTTTAACGGCGGCTGCGCCGCCTAGCTTCTAGAACCTTCCATTGGCTCGAAGCTATAAAATGCCGTTATGCTCTTATGTAGTAGATTCTCTTTCTTTCTTTCTTTTCTATCTTGATAGTAAACAGCATAGGGACTAGTTAGTTGTATCAACTCACTAGAGGCCTTTCACATACTATCAAGATCACTGAAGACATTGAAGACACTGAAGACACCGAAGACACTGAAGACACCGAAGACACCGAAGACACTGAAGACACCAAACTGAGTCCCGTCGAACTATTAGCGTTCAGCGAAGTCGCGATGGCCGAAGATAACAACAACATGCAGCCGGACGTCCTCAGCGCCCTGGTTGCCGAGATACGAAGTCTGAGAGAAGAGAGTTCCCGAAGAAACACCCAGTTTGAAGAACGTTTTATTGCCCTGGAACTCCAACAACACCAGCAAGCCCGTTCGTCTGAACTCCTAGAGCCAACGCCATCTGTCACCCCGGCTGTCCCCATTGAGGACACCCGTGTGGTCGCCACTCACAACCCTCACCCAACCAAGCGCCCCAAATTACGAGACATACCGAAATTCGGCGGCGACAAGGCCCAGTGGCGAAGCTGGAAACTAGAAACCGAAGGAAAGCTACGAGTCGACAAAGAAGCGCTTGGAGATGCAGAAGGCCACTTTATGTACATCTTCATGAGCCTAGAAGGCAAGGCTAAAGACAACGTGACCACATTTGTGGAGATGCAAACCGAGAAGAAAACGTTCAATGTTGCTGAACTACTCAACCGCCTCGAATTGCTGTACGGGGAGAGGGATCGCAAGCAGAGAGCTACACGCAACCTGCATTCGATTAAGCAAGGAGAGAATGAACCGTTCACGTCCTTTTACCCCGCTTTGAGAGGAGATCGCCAATGCCAACGCCAAGTATTGGCCAGATGACAGCAAGATTTCCTACCTCCAGGAGGCACTAAACGATAAAATGAAAGCAACCCTCATAGGCTCTGACCCTCTGCCATCAGCAGCTATGTTGGGCTGGCGAGGAGGTGCGATTCGCTGAGCAGCCAGATGGAATTGTTGGGTCAGTGGAAAGGCCTCGAGGCAACACAAAGAGTTCGGACAACTATGACAACCACCAGAATCATGGAGGCCAGGCTGCCCAGAAACAGCCTGGCCAGAAAACCGAAGTTAGACGAGAGGATATGATGGAATGGGAACCAACTCTACAAGCATCCGCGAAAGTGAACGCTGCGCGCACCCGCAGTGATAAGAACACATATGGTTACCAATCCAAGCGACCAGAAGACCAAGCGCTGTTGGGCAAGCGTGCCAAGTGGGTCGACCAGGCCGAGATGGACGCCCGTTACCGTGAAGGGCGTTGCCTCCGTTGTGGAAGAGACAACTGCAGAATCGAGCGCTGTCCATTGGCTGCGCCTATCCGACCCGCAAACACGACCCGACGCACTCAGGTCAATGCCGTGACCCCGTCACGACCAGCGGTCACTAAAGCCGAGGTCGCCGAAGACGATACTTCTTCTCATAACGATGAAGATTCAGACTAGGGACACGCGGCGGCTGTGAGAGAATGGGATGTGAGCGGAAAAGCAAAAATGGACGGAGAACCGTTCATAGCAGACGTCAGGGTGAACGGCACAGACTTCGTGCCATCTCTTGTCGACTATGGCTGCCTCTGCTACGGCGCGGTTAGCAAGCGCACATTTCACTCTCCAGTTGCCACATATACGCGTTCAGCCGCGTATCTTGGAGAACGCAGCCGGAGACGGCAAGGAGGTCAAAATCGACAAGATCACGTATGTGTCGATCGACCTCGATGGACATCAGCAGCATCGTGTTTTCATGTACGTCATCGACGATCTGAACTGGGATATGATCCTGGGTAAACGATGGATGGAAGACCAGGATGTTCACATCCATGCGAAGGAAGGATATCTCGAGATCGGGTCCAATGGAGTTCAAGTACGAGACCGACGACGTTACCAGCCTCCCCAGCTAGATGTCTCTAATGTCATGGCCGCAACATTTTTAGCAGAAGCACGCCGTGACAAACGCAAAGGCGGCATTGGAGTTCACTCGGTCACGATGGCGGATATTGACAAGGCCCTAAGACCGAAACCGAAGACTGACGTAATGGAGAAGCTGCCACCACAGTACCACAAGTGGTCTCGAGCTTTCTCTCAGCAACTGGCCGACCAGCTGCCCCCTCATCGGCCAGGTGTGGACCTGAAGATCGAAGTGCTGAAAGACGAGCATGGCCGAGAGAAGCCCTACCCTGGGGACCGCTTTACAGCATGTCCCGCGAGGAGCTATTGGTACTACGGAAGACTCTCACAGAACTACTCGACAAGGGATTTATTAGAGTCAGCAGCTCGCCAGCCGCGGCACCAGTCCTTATGGTGAAGAAGCCCGGCGGAGGCATCCGCTTCTGCGTGGATTACAGAGGTTTGAACCATATAACGAAGAGGGACCGCTATCCCTTGCCCTTACTGAGCGAGACCTTGCGAACGATAGCCAAGGCAAGGTGGTTCACCAAGGTAGATGTTATAGCAGCGTTCCATAAGATCAGGGTCGCCCCCGGCGACGAGGAAAAGACAACTTTCAGAACGCGCTATGGATCCTTCGAATGGCTGGTAGTTCCATTCGGCCTGACAGGCGCACCAGCAGCCTTTCAGCGGTACATTAACAGCGCGCTCCAGGATTACCTAGACGATTTTGTGTCAGCATATATCGACGATGTCCTGATCTTCTCCTCTGGAAGCCTACAAGACCACCGCGACAAGGTCGGCAAGGTCCTCCAACGACTGATGGACGCCGGGCTGCAACTGGATATCAACAAGAGTGAATTCGAAGTCAAGGCTGTGAAATACCTTGGGTTTATCATCGAGGCGGAGTGTGGGATCCGAGTCGACCCTGAGAAGGTTGAGGCTGTGAAGGAATGGGCAACCCCGACGAATGTTAAGTCCGTGAGGAGTTTTATTGGATTCGCGAACTTCTACAGGATGTTTATGCCAGAGTTCTCGGTGATAGCGGAGCGCTAACGCGGCTAACGAAGAAGGACGTGCCATTCCGTTGGGATGAATTGTGCGAAGAAGCCTTCGAGAAGCTCAAGGACCTGTTGATCACGGCCCCGATCCTGCACACTTCCATCCAGAAAGGGAGACTATCGTGGAAGCAGACGCTTCAGGATTCGCGTCGGGAGGCGTGCTCTTGCAGAGAGATGATAAGGATGGACTGGTACGACCTGTCGCATACTTCTCGAAGAAACATTCGGCAGCCGAAGCGAACTACGCTATCCATGACAAGGAGCTACTCGCCATTCTCAGATGTTTGGAGCAGTGGGAACCAGAGCTACGGGCAGTAGAGCACTTCAAGATCCTAACGGACCACAAGAACCTGAGGTACTTCTACTCGGAAAGGAGGTTGACAGAGAGACAAGTGCGGTGGTCGGAGTTCCTGTCCAGGTTCCAATTCGAGCTCGAATGGAGGCCGGGCCGCAAGGGCGGATTGCCTGACGCACTCTCTCGACGGGACCAGGATATGCCGGCCAACTACTCCGATGAACGACTAAAGGGACGCATTATGAGGCTATTCCAAAATGATCACCTTAGAAGGGTCCCAATATCGACATTGTCTACCAACACCGAGGGTGCCCAGGAAATCAACTTCGGAAAAGAGATCAGGATATTTGAAGATGAGGAGTTACAGCAGCTGTGGCACGCCGCACGCCAAGAAGACAAGCTCTATCAAGAACTCACGAAGCTGGTAGCAGATGGAGCGAAGAGTTTGCCAACAGGATTACAGAAGGAGAAGGTTGTCAGCATTTCAGAATGCTCGTTAGACAATAGGGGCCTGCTGTGCTTTAGAGAACGCGTCTGGATACCCGGTTCGGAGCCGCTACGTACGAAGATCATCCAGGAAACTCACGACTCTCATATCACCGGACATCCTGGAAGGGACCTCACGTACTCGACTCTGTCGAGACGCTTCTTCTGGCCGGGTGCCGCTAGCGATGTACGTCGGTTTGTGCGCAACTGCGAGGTTTGCGGACGAAACACCATCTGGAGGGATACAAAGAAAGGACTCCTAAAGCCGCTCCCTATTCCGCAACGCATATGGAGCGAAATTACCATTGACTTTATTACTGACCTCCCACCGTCGGGGAAAGATGGCGCGACGAACTGCATGGTGGTCACGGACCGACTCACCAAAGGCGTCGAACTCGAAGGATTACACGATATTTCTTCAGAAGCGGTTGCAAGAAGACTCTTCGAACGACACTACCCTGTCCATGGCATCCCAACGGCTATTACCAGTGATCGGGGTCCCCAGTTTGTCAGTGGTATGTGGAAACACTTCTGTCAGCTGCTAGGGATCGAGCAGCGGTTGTCAACGGCGTACCATCCACAAACCGACGGTGCAACAGAACGAATGAACCAAGAGGTAGAGAGGATTCTTCGGATATGGACAAACTATCTGCAGGAGAACTGGTTGGACTTGCTTCCAGTCGCGATGGCGACAATTAACGAGCGGAAGCAACCTCCACCGGACTGAGTCCGTTCTTCTTCATGCACGGCTACCACAATGAGCCAATCCAGTTAGTTGAGCATCGAAGCACGGAAGACACAACACAGGAAGAAGCTGCAGCGGAGGATTTTATTCAGAGACTACAGGATGCCACGGAGTTTGCGCAAGCAGCGATAGCTATGGCCCAGGAAATACAGCAAGCGCAAGCCAACAAGCACAGGACAGCCGCACCGAGATACAAGCCTGGGGATTGGGTATACCTCAACTTGAGAAATGTCAAAACATCGCGACCCTGCAAGAAGCTCGATTGGTTACATGCCAAATATCAAGTGCTCACCGAAGTCAGCCCACATGCCTATAGGTTGGATGTGCCTGGACGTATCCATCCAGTCTTTCACGTCGATCTACTCCGGCCAGTACCCGGAGACCCATTGCCTTCGCAGAAAATCGATCAAGAGAGTGCCCCACCGGTGCTGGTGGACGGCCAAGAAATGTACCTCGTCGAAAGGATTCTGGATGAAAGAATGGAAGGTACGCATAAGAAGGTGCTCGTAAAATGGCATGATTACTCGCAGCCTACGTGGGAGCCCCTTCCCACTATTCGACACACTGATGCATGGAAGCAATGGAAGAAACATAAAAAGAGTGTCACCTTCTCAAGTCATCTTGACACAGATTGCCACGATCCCAAGGAAGAGGAAACGTTGGACGGGAGGGAGGTAATGTAACGGGCAAGCCGCTTTAACGGCGGCTGCGCCGCCTAGCTTCTAGAACCTTCCATTGGCTCGAAGCTATAAAATGCCGTTATGCTCTTATGTAGTAGATTCTCTTTCTTTCTTTCTTTTCTATCTTGATAGTAAACAGCATAGGGACTAGTTAGTTGTATCAACTCACTAGAGGCCTTTCACAGGTCTGGGTTTGTTTTTGCTGTGCTTCTCGAAGTCTCTGATGGCGATGTGAGCGTTGACGACGTTCTGTAGTGGTTCCCATGTTGCCTGCTCAAGGTCGAAGCCTCTCCATAGTATATGGTACTGGAAGCCTTTCTGTTTTGTGCGTTTCGAGTCCAGTATTGCTTCAATCGCCCAGAGTTTCTCCCCCTTTGCATCTAGCGTTATTGGTGGGGGCGGTGTGTTGTATTGGCCGGGGAGCGGGTCGTTTGGTGCAGGGTGGTTTTCCATATATGGAAAGGTGTGCAATCCATACTGGAGTATCGCCCACATTTATTGCAAGTATTGCAATACACCTTTCCATTCTTGGTCCGTGCGCATCCCGCAACAGCTCACCTATATGGTCTCGGCAAACGTGCCAAACACGACATGAATCAATGAAAATCAAGGAACAGTTAACGTGAACGTAATGACAGACGACCGGTCAAGGGGATGCCAAGCAGAAATTTGCTCCTTTGCAGGAAACAGGCGTAGAAGTTGAGCCAGGATTTTACCCAAAATCTGGGGACCCGCCACCACCCTCGGCCCTTGCAAGATATCGTTCTTGAGCCAATGCTTTAAACATTCTCCCTTTTCGACTTGTTTCGCGTCCAATTGGGCTCTTTCCCATGAGATTGTGCGACGCGCCCTGAGAACACCCGCTCAGGTTCATCACTCATCGCCGGCATTGATAGGATGTCTATGGCCATTTGTGATAGCTTGGGCCATCGTTTTCTCTGTTGCTCTTGAAGCCACCATGACAAGGCCGTCGTCGGCGTAATGTCGTACGGATCACATGAAATGTAATCTTCGTACTCGTCCTGGCTTGACGGTCGAGTGCAATTCTGCAGGTTCCTTGAAATGCGATCAAACGCGTCAAGGTCCTCGTCATCATCGTCATCTAGTAAATGTTGCGAGAGGAGCCATCCACAGTGTCTCGGTATGTGAGCCAAAGGTCTTTGACCTGTTTGAACGCAGGTTTTTGCCACTTCTTCTTCCAATTTGCCTGGATGTATGTTGTGCGATAGCTGGGATGAAGGATCAAGGCAGCTGCATAATAGGGCGATGCTTCTGTCTTGCTATAATATTTGTCAAAGACTTCCCACCCTCGTTTGATCCTAAAGGACAGCTCGGTGTCTGATTTGTACGTGACCTATTGCACCATCTCAGCGCTTGCACAAGGAGATCAGAGGAATGGAAGGCATGGTACCAGGGCTTCATCAAAGCATCGGATCAAGACGTCCATCGTGAAGAGCACTTTGTCCAGGGTCGCATGATCCCCTTGTGTTGCTAATGTCGCTCGGGCGAACGGTTGAAGGATCTTCTCAATTATTCGGAGCCGGGCCCAATCTTCCGGCAATAGAAAATCCGCAGAAAGATCTTCGAAATGATTCTTGGTGTAGGTGTCCAGAGCGCTGGCAGTTTCCTGCTGAGTGGCAACATGCAGCATCTGATACCAGCTATTCCACCTCGTACGATTGTCAAGTGGAATGCCCTCTCAGCGAGTTCCATAAACTCTCCACTGCGTCCTGATGAACTCCGGATGTTGACAACCAGGTTGTGGAGCTTACCAAGTGGTCCAAGGCGGCGAAATTCGGTGCGCTGCCTTTGAACTTTGCCAGGTCATCTGCGTCTTCGCATATTTCGCCCTCTTTCAAGTCAATAGAATTCTGGAACAGGAAAGCTTGAACTGCCAAGTTGATAACGTGGCCTAGGCATCGGAGGCGGTGAACTTCAGGATCCCATTTGACGCCCTCTTCCTTGAGATACGTGCTCACTGCCCGGCAGAGGGTGTCATTCGTGCTCGAATTATCCCCAACGATGCTTCCAAGGCGTCGCAGAATACCAAAGTCCCGCAAGATGGGAAGAAGTGTAACGAATTGCTCCTCCCGGAATGGTTCGCCACAGGCCGAAGTGCAGGAGAGCTTTCCGTCGTGCTTCTTGTGCGTGGTCAACAAAGTGGGAGCAAACTCCGAGAAGAAGGAGCCGATTGGGGGACGTCCAAATGTCAAGCGAGAGGTGAACCTTGGATTTTGCTGACTGGAGCTTCATTCGCACGATATCCTTGGCCGACTGGAAATGATTGTCGATAATTCGTGGAATAGTCGAGTGGGCGGAAGGAGATGGTCCTTCGCGACCGGGTTCAAGGTCGAAATGAAGAGGTGAAATTCGCGGGATTCGACAATTCGATAAGGAAGGTTTCGTGCGACGATCAGCCAAGCTAAGGCTTTGTTTATCTTGTCTTGGTCCAGGTAGCGTTTGAAGACCTCCGACTCAATCTCCGTTGTGTGGCCCAATTCCCGTGCTTGCTGGTAGAGTTGCTCAAACCCTCAAAGATGGATGATTGAAGAGGGTCAAATCTTCCACGACTCGAATATCGTGCTTACCCTCCAGATGTTTTCGAAAGTTAGTGGTAACTGAAGTGCTGTACGGGTTCGTCTGGGGACAATGGCTGCAATAGAGAAGACGATTTCGGCCCTTAAACTCTTCCTCCCCCTCTGCTGCAACGCGAGCATGCTTCCACGTTGCGATAGCCGCTTTGCCTCTTGTATTGCGAGATCTTGATGTCGTAGAGTCCGACAATATAGATTCAGCATCGAAGAAGGATAGCACACTTGCAGAATCCATAGTTCGACAACTGATTCGTCCGACGCGTTGGTGCAAAGTGGTGGGAAAGCGATTTGTGTTTGTGTGGGAATTAGCGGGGTTCAAGGCCCTCAGACCCCTGGACGATGGCGCTGTAGGGGTCCCGGTCAGTGGCGCAATTTGGCCAATTATTGACTGAGCATTGAAATACTATGGATCCATATCCATACCCTGTCCATGCCATAGTATGGAAAGGGTATTTCCATACTTGGGTATGGAAAACCACCCTGTTCGAGAAGCGCCAAACTCCTGCCCCCATTCCAGGAAGTGGGTTGACTGGAAAGAGTGCCCAACAGGCCGCGAGCACGCTGCTGATTGCGTTGTCATTCGTCTTTCAAGGGTCTTCAACGTCAGCTGCTGCCGTTGGTTGTTGATCAATTGACACCGACGGCTGCCGAGTGAATACGTCGGATAGGGGTGATAGACGAAGGTGAAGATTTTGAAGATTTTGAATGAAGGATGAATCAAATGAATTGAATTTTGGATCTTGATTCAAAATCTTCAAGCTCCAATTTTCGCGATTCAAGTTGGGTTTGGGCCAATTCAGGCCATTCATGAATGGTTTGAAGGATCCCTAAACGAAGTGAATTTGGTGTGTACCTGAGCGATTGCAAAGATGCCTCAAAAACGCCAATAAGTAGTATATAGTTTTAAGTTATAGCCTTCTAAGAAGTCGATAATCCCGAATACTACAAAAATTAACTTACATAAATACTGATCCGCCTGTCCTAGGCAAATCGACTGAAAATAAGCACTTTCAAAGCTCTGCCGAATCCTCAAAATACGTCGGTACAACGCGTTCGAATCCGCCACTGTACACGGCTACACTCTTAGAGCCCCAATCCTCCGAAGCCTCCATTGTATCTAGACAGGGGGTTGATATCGCAGACTTATCGGCTTGGGATGCAGGAGGTTTGGGGGTAGGGGTTCAGTGGGAGCCTCGGTGGGAGGAAGAGGTTGAGGAGGATTCTCGCCTGAACACAGATTAGCATATACCTACATATATAATGAGGGTATATCCATACATACCATCTTCCAGCTTGCCCGGAATGTGGTCTGGTCTCCAAATAATACTATTGGCAAAGGGCAGGATGTCATACTCCATGGCCGCCTTGATCAACGCCTGATCGATCTTATCTTCCTGAGTATAAGCACTCCGTAAAAGTGTTAGTACTCGCACCGTATCTGCCTTCAAGGCGTGACGGCGGATACCGAATTCGTCTCTACAACCGCTGAAGAGGCGTTCCACGTCAACTTCAGAGCCAGAGACAGAGAGAAGATCACGCGCCGCCGCAGCCAAAAGTGGCCACTCGACCTTGTGTTCTTTCCACCACTTCAGTAGGAAGTCTGGAGACTTTGCAATAGACTCGTCGAACTCTATTCGAGGAGCTGCAAGCCACCGTTCAAGCTCCGAAATAGGGATCGCCGCGCCCGTCTCCGCCTCCCTCGCCTTCTTCATTTGGATGGCTCTCCATTGCGCAATGGAGACTCCTTGAGGACGCTCAGCTGGTCTGGATTGGCTCATAGTTGAGTTTGTGGCATTCAATGCTGCTAGCTCCGGCCACTCCGTTTTGAAATACTTCTTGACTTTAGCCATAATCTCAGAGTATTGATCCGGTATCATCATTTCCAATTGGTGAGTTTTATAACGCGGATCCAGGATGTGAGCTGCGAATAGCATCATTTGATCGTCAAGCTTCTTCATATAAGTAACGTGTTTTGCTTTGCCCTTCGAGAAGGCGTCTCGAATGGACATATCAAGGTCTGTAAAGTCGCCAACTCCTTCGACTACATCATCAAGGAGAGCTTCCAAATCCCAATAGATATCGAGACTTTGTGAGATCGGCGGCATAACTTCGGAGACTTTCAGAGTGTGGTCTTTAAACGGCTTCAGAACCTTCCGCAGTTGATAGAGAGCGACAATCTCTTCTGATAAGGGCAGGAGGCACTTGACTTGCGGGTGAGTATCAACGAACTCAGTATACTCTGCCTCAAGCTCGAGGAATTGGTCAATCATGTCGTAGGCCGAATTCCAGCGAGTGTCGACATCGTAGGTTGGCTTCCGGTAGTGCGTGCGCGGCATGCTTTTGAAGTCTTGCTCCCTAGACCCGGATCTCAACATCCAGAGATTGAGGAGGCGGATTTTGGCAATCCCACTTCGACTAGAGTCTCCCGGAATGGTGTAGTTGTTGCTTTTATTCTCTTCGTCCCACTTGTCAAGCATCTTCTTGGCTTCCTTCGCTGTGCCTGCTTTGAGATCTTGCAAGACGCCCTCACAAATGAGCGAGGTAATATGAGCTAGACAGCGGATCCAACTCTTCCTGCCGTGAAAGCGCATGCGGGCCTCCTATTGGGCTCACCTTGTCGTCGAATTTGGTCTTGAGAGAATCGTACAAAGACTGACAGAGCGTGCCGTTATTGCCGGCGTTGTCTCCCGTAATGGCGAGAAGCTTAGGCTTGAGCCTGAGCTCCTCAAGCGTCCTCTCAACTATCTCAGCTAATTGTTTGCCAGTGTGAGATCTTTTGAGCTCAATAAACTCAATAACTTCCTCTCTCTCCTCAAACTCCGGTGTAATCCAGTGCGCAATAATGGCGAAAATGGGCACCCGATTCGGTGCTGTCCAGATATCAAGGGTGAACGAGATGGTGGCACAATTGTACTCAAGCTCAATCTTCAGCTTCTCCTGCGTTCGACAAAGTCTGTATATATATGATTGCGTAACGTTATACGACTCCTGTACACACATGTTGTGTTGTGAGCCAAGAACATCTCTTGAAAAGCAGGAGTCTCGACAACAGAGAAGGGTTGTCGGTGTTTTACAAACCACCGGCGGATAGACTCCTTTGCCGTGAGTCTTGCTCTCTGCCTAGGTCGACCGCTCCATGCGTCTGCCTCTGTATAATCTCCTCCACCAATGGCGCGGCCGTATCCATTAATTCGAGCGTGGTGAGATTCCTTCGTAATACCGTGGATTTTTAAATGGTCTCCCATGCCAGAGGTAACCCTCGGCGGTTCGATTCGAGGACCTGGAATCTCTTCCGAAGAGTATTGGGATTTTGAAGGCACTCTATACAAGTCCACCGGAACTCTTGGAAGATCTTCGGCCCATCCTTATCCTCTGAGTAAAAGCTTCTGTCTATAGCTTCCTCTGCATATACCAATAGACGTGGCTGTTCTTGTCTCTCTTCTTGCGAACATGCTTTTGTTTGTTGTCGGCCCACTTCTTGATAAGTCCGGCTTTCTCTGCGAGCGTCATATGACTACTGTTCAATGGCGGCTCTGGTGTATCCGCGTCGGGCATGTCATCATCTGACTCACAGTCAGGATGACCCGGGGGCGCGCAGACAATTGTATCTTCGCCAGTTGGAAGAGGAGAGGAAGGAGCCGGAGTTGCGCTAGAATCAGCGCGCGCGCGGGATTCCGAGGTTGAATTGAGGACGTTCGATGCGGGCATAATTCTGCGTTGGCAATTTACGCCGGGTCCTTGGAGCAAAGAAATTCGCTGCGGCAGATGTTTTTGTTTCAGCAGGGCCATACTACGTATCATGTTATAATTAGCTATCCACTCGTAAGGTAATTAAATAAGGAGGGTAGATTGAGAGTAATGAAGTTTTACCTGATCTTGGCTGAAAGGCTCGAGAATGGACGCGACACAGGTAGTCGGAACGACACCAAATAAACCACAATAAAGTGTCAAGGAGTCGGGGTTGAACGGGTAGGATAGGTCGTCGGTCAGGGCGTTGATTCGGGGGCTGATCCGAAGCCGCTGTCGGAATATCGAAGCAGGAATTAGGCGAGGTCGTGGTAAAATAATGTCGTGGCAGTTGTCGCGAAGACCGTTGCGCCACGCAGGCAAAGGTGGATGGGCTGACGACCCTGTCTTTCCGACAGCAGTAGAATTAACAGGTGGTCAACTGAGCGGAAATAACGCGTCTGAACGCGGCTAGTTGGCACAATATATCCTTATCATGCAGATTTTTCGGGTACTTCCTGATCGGCTAATTTGTATGGACAAACAAGTAGCAGTCATATTGGGCTCGAGGAGTAGATAAGTCCCTAACAGCCTCCAAATCGCGAGCTGACTCGATTCGTGTCACTTCCAATTGTTCGCGCAGTATTGAGATGTTGAGGATCTGAACGCGGTTTTCGAATCAGCTTGCTGGGGCTGTACAGCGGTATAATTATTATATTATATATCCAGAATATGGGTTGCCGAGCTTAATATGTGCTTGAAATGTAGTATTCCAACCAAAAAATGGGCTATCCATTGATTGCCTTCAAGATGATGTGGCATTTCTTGAGCAAATGTTAACGACATGTAACTATCGAGGTTATATCATCCGAACGAGAAAATCCAGAACATTCGAGCGGCACTACATTTAAATCATGTGCATTATAAAATGGCACTGTTCATGAGCTTCATGGTGTTTTTAATACTCCGTATAGGGTGGCAAGATTGCTGAAACGGTGGCGTATCAGGCACTGTTAGGTCGTTATACCACAATATATGGACGCCCTAACTGCCGTCCTTCGCCTCGATTTCCCCAGCGACGCCCCCGCCAGACGCGGGCGGCGCGGGACTAGGATTTTGCCAGTGGAGTGTGGACGGTGGAATCCAACTGAAACACGCACAACAGACTTTTAAATACGCAGAGCGTCATCACAAGCGCGGCCGAACTCGAAGTTACCGTGTCCGCGCGGGCAAACCCCAATGATGGGGTCAAAGCAGCTTGTTTATTGATGTGTATGTGAGCCTGCCGAGGAAGAACAGGGAAGAGGCCCTTGGTGGGTGGCTTCGGGTATTGACCCTTTCCTCCCTGTATGTCCCTTGGCCGCGAAGCGGGGTGATAATTTTTTTTCGCCTTACGTTTCGACCATATCGCCATTCATTCACAATTTTTATGAATGAATTGAATGAAGACTCCTGATTTTTGATTCGTCGAATTTGAAGACCTTACCCGATTCGGCTTCATTCAATTCAAGGGTCCCGAGGCCGATTCGACTTCAAAATCTTCAAATATCAGCCCTAACGTCGGAGTTTCTGCTGCGAACTTCCATTTCGACCCTTGATGTTTTTCCTCCAAAGCAAGACGGGGCCAACAGCGACGGCCATTATGGTGAGGGAACATGTCGTGATTGAGATCAGTTACGCGGTTTCACCTGACTGAGGAATTAGAAGAATCGTATGGGTCGATTTTAGGTAGACGTAGCGCAAGGAAACAAAAAGGACAGGAAGTAGCGCAAAGGACAAAAATAGATATCTCATGTGCTCAATCATTTAATACTCGCAAGCATCGTAACCCGCTTCACATTTAATACTTTTTGTTGGGGTTTTGTCTGGCTCCCATTCCTATAATAAATGCAAATGACTATCTTTTAACCTTCGTAATGCCCACTAGGCGCTTTCCGCCGTCCCGGGTAACATCACCGAGTTTTAGAACACCGACGCAACGACCACGCCCGAAATGGTATACCTCTTTATTGACGTTAGGCGAGTTTAGTTTTAGAAGTGTACCCCGTAACTTCACATTACGTAGTGCAGTAGCTTGAGCGTCAAGACGGGTTGCGCGATGACGCTACGGAAGGCTAGCACTCTCTGCGGGATTACGTGTATCAAGCTCCGACAGGACCAGGGTCGAGAAAACGAGAAGCCTGAAATTGAACCGGGAATAATCCGCAAAATATATGCTCATTTTGAGGCTGCTGGGTGAACTGTAGTCTAATAATACCTCTTCAATCTTCTGAATCACGTTGCCGAATGTCTCAACTGTCCTCTGAAGGTTCGTTTTCGTCATATTCGCCGCTTCTAGCTTGATAGACTTGGGGCCTTCACGCTTGAACATGCCGCTACTTTGAACTGATTCCTTGTCAAAGGCTCAAGCAGGCTTGGAAGATAGCTCCATTGCGTTCACATCATCAAGTTGTTTGAAGACAGAAAACAGCTGCTATCTTGAGCCAAAAGGCGCTGTCCGTGGTGCAGGATTTGGTCCGAATTGGCTGGTTCAATTCTTGTAACAATTGTGAGATAAGGCTACTGTACTCGCGTGCTTAGGAAGCCGCAGACTACCGAGGACTGCGAAGTTGTCGCCTCCGCAAATGGCCTCCGCACTGATCCAAATATGGACTTCTCTGCCGGTGATACGCATTTATAAAAGCACGACAAGCTCGCAGATCTCTTCGCCTTCGTATTATAGCTGCTCTCCGAAATGTTTCTATCTTTACTTTTGCCTGCGCCGCTGTGGTAAGCGCGTGTAAACCTGAGCGCAAGGGATTGTGGATAGTCCATATGCGATCGATGCAGCAGAACACCTTGGTGTCGCCGTGGAAGACATATCAAAGCTTAATTATGGGAACAGACTAAGCTTAATTGTTCCGGGTCAAACAGTCACGATTCCATATGTTTCTTCGCTTCTGCCGCCGGCGACATGGAATATGGAAGCAATTACGACAGGGAGCGCGATTAGTTGCAGAGCATATCTCGAAATGGTGCCATCAACAACACTTAACACACGAGTCAAAAATACATTGAGTACTGTGACAAGGGTTCTTTCTCGACATCCACGCGTCGTCTAGGCCAAACGTCGACTGCATCATCCAAAAAATCGACGTTGTGGACAATGACGAAAAGTGCAGACACCGAAGCCAATCCAATTGTGACAACTACAAGCGAGGCTACATCCAAGCTTGTCGAAGTGTCACTTTCGAGTGGGAAAGACATCTCGACGCCTTCTACGGCGCTGTCTGAAACCCTCCATACTGGGCAGTCTTCGAACGCCTGTGGAAGCACGAACCGCATCTCGGCCACATCGTCACCAGCGTCTGAACCCACGTCGGACTCTGGCTCAAGCCCTTTGTGCATCGCACAGAAGGCTCCAAGAATAGGCGAAAGGTTGACCCTGAAGAGCAGGCGCGCTTGGCCAGTATTTTCTGTCAGGAGGAGAGGATCCTCTCAGCTCCAAGAACCCCAGCTTCCTTAAGCAGTACTGGAATGGAGCAAATACCTACTTCTACTCCTCTATTGGACTGGCGGGGACATGGGTTGTTCCTATACGGAAAAGATCGACAGAACTTTGTGCGCGGAGACGATGAAAAAGAACTATTTGGCCTGTAAGTTGCCTATTAACTTTGGCCCAAGTTATCTATCCACCCACTTTCATTAACTGTACACCCAAAAAGTGGATTAACTGTGGCTGACGGCCGAAGAGGGCCGATACCGCCAATTTGTATGCACACATTCTCTACGATAAGTAGAGCCAGGTAGTAACAGTTCTCCTTCAACGATAAGGCACCCAAAATTGAAGCTATTCGTACTGCGCTTTCTATGCTGATGAGACTATTCTTTGGTGTTTACAACAGGCCTCCTTCTTCGAGTGCACTACGCCTGATCCGCTTCATCTAACTGTGATTCCAATTGATCCCATACATCCTCAAGGGCGGCATCGTCCGTGAGGCCGGCGACGAAGATGCAGTCTTGGGTCTCCCGCCGTACCGGCTGATCGTCATCATCAGAGACTGGCGTTTGACGCCCGGCTTGTTGATACGCCCGTTGCATCCGTGTGCCTGCCTCGTACGTATCGCCGTTTTCCTCGATGTGCCGCAGCCTCGTTCCGTTGAAGTCATCGCGGCCGTTACCGTACCCGTCATCGCCGCTGGTGCCGTTGAGGGAGGAGGCAGTCGTATAGCCTCAGCCCGCTCATGCCGTTCAGCGATCTCGTGATGTGACGGATCCCGCCGCGTTGATCTTGA